ACACACACACACACACACACACATTATAATACTATAATATTAATATAGATGGATCAAGAAGGGCTGTAGAGACTTCACATAAAACTGAGTCTTGCTGAATGTGAAATAGACTTCTCTTCAATGAGGCCTTGAAATAGCCAGTGTATCATCACTGGAGCTGTGCTTATCTACATTCTAATGGCTTCACTACATGTGGAGGATAAATGAAACTGGAATATTCAAACACCTTTAGTATAGCTAGCAGAAAATGCTGGAGAAAATTTTAGGGATACTAAAGTATATTTAAATATGTTGCTAACTATATATAGCTGACAAAATAGGAAGGTAAAGGCTTTGGGCCTACTCTAAATATGAAATGGGGTCTTAAATAGCTGAGTGATTTCAAATAAAGACTGTGGCAGAAAAATCAAGAAATTATCTAATGTATTAATGTATTACACTGTAATTAGGCTCTGTTGGCTACCCACAGGTTGATTTTTTTGGTCATATAAGTCATACTAAGTAAAATTTTAAACCAAGTGTACTTTTGATCCTATTCATAGAACTAAAAGTCTTTTTTGAAAAATAACTTTGGCTATTTTTTTATTCCTGTAATATACATTCTTAAATTCTGCTTAAATTCTGCTTTGTTAAAAACCCAAACACACACACACACACACACACACACACAAATCGTAGACCTGGGCAAATGAAGAAAATATAATTAATTATATACCATTGTTTCATTACAGTGGATGAATATATTGCCATTGCAAAGGAGAAACATGGCTACAATGTGGAACAGGTATGTAAAGAAACATTTTAATATTAGGGCTTGCCTCAACATTTATGAAATTCAGAGAACATCTCGTGATCATTTCTGTCCTAAAAGTGAAGCAGTTCAACCAACTTTAGAGATACCAAAAGTCCTAACAAAGTCTGACCTCTCAACATTAAGGATTTTGCTTTTATAAACATTATTTGTCTCAAGGGCTTGAACATTTTTCTCTAAATACCTCTGTTTCTTATTCTATTTGAGTTATAAAAGTGTCTGAAAGCCTTCATGACTACTCTGGCAAATGCTTACGAAAAAGGGAAAATTTTTTGAGTACAGGTAATTCTCTTTGACTTTTGAATCTAAAAGAACTTAAACTTTTAGAAATATTTAAGATTTTTCCATTATGAATGAAATAATGCATAAAGGTTTTTTTTAATTTAGATAACTTTAAAAGGAGATATATATAGCTTATGATTTATTTATCCCTAGTAATGAGGGGATGAAGAGCATGGAAAAATGAAAATGAAATAGAGATTCTTAAATTTCATTTCAACTAAGTATTAGATCAACCTTTATCAGAATTACTAGTAAAATAAGTGAATTATCTGTAACCTGGATTATTAAGAGCTAACTTTATGGTCAGTAACATGGTTACATAATAAAAAACCATTTTTGTGAAATTGAGATGTTTATCCAAATGCAGTAATCTTTTTTGTGAATTTTGAAGCCTTTGATTATGTATTTTGTTTTTAAGCCTTAATTTTCTGTTTAATATTTAAGAAAGTTAATCCTTTAAAATGTGACTGCATATAGGTTCATTTTCATGTTCATTTTAAAGGAGTATTACCAAAGTATAAAAATTAACTTTAAAGCTCAATATTGAAAAAGTTGCTAAGTCTCTTAAGAAATAAAACTTTATCCCTTAAATGATATTCAGTACCTTATTATAAAGACAAAGGCCTACTATTTACCTACAGTAAAAGAGAAAATTGTGGAACTGTTGGAAATCATTCATTTCAGGCTTTCCTACGATTTGCTAATAAAGTCATTGAAGTTATTAACATGCCCATACTAATTCTTTGTGTACATTATGATAATAAAGAACTTTTAAAAATATAGATGATAAAAGATTGTTATACTTATAGTTGAGGTACTCTCCTTAGAATTGTTGAGTCCATGATATATTTCTAAAAGGTTAAAACAAGTATTTCTCAAAGTCTCGACTGAGCACTTCCAGTTTTTTGTTAGAATCCATAGTTTTCATTCAATTACTGGTTTTTTGGATTTTTTTTTTAGTGTATTTTTCTCTACACATTGACAGATGAATCAATGTGGGTAAAAGTCTTGATATGAGCCTTCAAACGTGCTGTAGTAATCATAGTCACTCTCCTCAGCTAACTGTGTTTCCTAGATTCTGCAGCAGACATGGTATGCAAGAACATTCACTGTTCTGAGGCATTGATTTAAAAGAAATAATAAGTGAGGTCTGCTACTTGGGCAACCCTGATTAAAACCCCAAACTGTGAGTGTATCTTTAGTTGAAGTCATAGGCTTAAGATTTTAACATAATTTGTATTTAATTCTCTTAAGTGTGATGGAACGTAAGTCCATTAAAAACCAAAGGGGATTGATTTCTCTTCAAAGGCACTTGGCATGTTGTTCTGGCATAAACATAACATTGAGAAGTCCCTTGCTGATCTCCCTAATTTTACTCCCTTTCCGGATGAGTGGACAGTGGAAGATAAAGTCCTATTTGAACAAGCCTTTAGTTTTCATGGGAAGAGCTTTCACAGGATTCAACAAATGGTATGGTAATTTTGGTCTTAGTGTGATTCATACCTGCATGATATTTTATGCTGATATTAAACTTCCGAATTCTTAAATAGAAAACAAGTTTTCCAATCATGTTAATTTTTAAAAATATTTTGAAATAGGTATATTTGCATAGAGTGCTATTGTCTACAACCATTCTAAGGCATGACAGTTATTTGCTATTTCATTGTAATAAATTAATTTTTATTATGACTTAAATATATGTGTAATGGTATTGTTTAAAAAGTTTGTCATTCCAGGAAAAAAAATCATAATTTTACTTTTAAATGTTTTATTTTTTAACATAAGGATTTTATTTTCTAATTTATATTCCTTTAGATATGAACATCAATTTTTAAATATTCTGTAATTCAGTATTGTCCAAGTGCTGTTGCTTTTTTTTTTTTACAAGAAAATCGCTTTTCTAGCTCTTAAGTTTTTAGTATTGTGTCAAAATAATATAAACCTGAGAAGTGCTGCATTAAACACTTTTAACCTGAATGGATAAAAACTAAATAACATTTGCAAATATATCTGAGTGTCTTCCATAATTGAAAAGAACGTTTTTGATTGGGAGTGTGCATTCTTGTTTGCCTGGATGACAAATCAGTGCATGATCATTTGTCAGTTTTTGCCCAAAGACTTTATTTGGTAGCTAAAGTCTATTTGCATTATTTCTCCTTTTAAAACCTGTTAAAACAAAATGATTCCAAAAAATCATTGTTAAGAATTGAATAGCTTTTCTGGAATATATGCTAACTGAAAGAAGCATGTTGTAAAATTGTTGTACAGATCCACTAAAAAAAGACTTTTTTTCTTCGTATTAAGATATCAAAGGTCACATATTGTCTGATTTCATTTATATGAAGTGTTCAGAATAAGCAAATCCATAGAGACTAGGTTAAGGAGAGAATAAGCATCACTGCTAATGGGTATGGGATTTCTTTTCAAGGTTAGGAAGATGTCGGGAATTTAGCGATGGTTACACATAACTAGCGCATATACTAAAAACCACTGACTTGTACTCTTTAAATTGGAGATTTTTATGATATGTGAATTACATATCAATAAAAACTGATTTACATAGGGAAAAAAGAATTGAGTAATTATTTAAGGGAAACAAATATTAAATACTAACATTGCCTGTGTTGAGGACTTCTGGGGCCATTCTTGCTGTGTTTGTGACGTCTTTCTCCTCTCCCTCAAACAAATAGGCATGTTTATTCAACAATGTCAGTGTCATAGGTGTGGGTGGAGTACTGTGACCACAACACACTTTTTATCTTTATAATTTATAAAGGTACTCATGAAATGTTTTATCTATGCCTTTGTTTGCTAAGTATCAAAGAATAATATCAGAAATGTTCTGTTCATTGGAGTTTACGAATTAAACTTGCTGATATTAACATGATTTTTTTTTAAGCTTCCAGATAAGACCATTGCTAGTCTTGTAAAATATTACTATTCCTGGAAAAAAACTCGATCTAGGACAAGCTTGATGGATCGCCAGGCTCGGAAACTAGCTAATAGACATAATCAGGGTGACAGGTAGGTTGGATGCCTTTATATAGTTACATTGATAGGAACACTGTATTGGATTGATTACATTTCCTAAGGCAGAAAAATTAGCACAACATATTGTAAGTACTTCTTACTCTTACATTCATGTTTCTGCTCTGATAAGAAGGGCTGAGTGATCAAAAATCTTAGTAGTAAGAACTCTCTTCAACTCTGAACTGTTAATCATAGCCAGCGAACATTGCAACTGAGTTATATTTGAGCTGTGTTTGACTGTAATGACAAATGCTTTTTTTAGTAGTAATATATTTAATACATATATTTAGGATCTAATAAATATATTCTCTAGAAGATGCTCTTTCCACAGTTACCTGAGTGACTCTGAAGTCCATGTTACTGTAGCTGTATCTTTATGGCAGTATAAAATAATTTTGCTTACTGGTTTTTGTCTGTCTTTATTATCCAACTGGAGAACTAAAATAATAAGTATTACATCAAGTGTTCTCTTTTCCAAATAATATTTCTTTTTAAATATCTTCCTTATTTATTTAGGAAAGATATTTAGCAGATATGTTAGCTAAAATGATTCTGTATGCCTTAAATATTTCTAAACACTACAGAAATCTAAATTTTAAAAGCCTATCTCCTCGGGGCAGCCCTTGTTCTGTTGGGGAATATTTAGTAAAATTATTAGCATTTGATATTACCATTTGATAAGAGCACTGGAATAGAATAAAAAGAAAGGAATTAAGTTTATTAATCTCTGTCTCTTTCCAGTGATGATGATGTGGAAGAAACACATCCAATGGATGGAAACGATAGTGATTATGATCCCAAAAAAGAAGCCAAAAAAGAGGTAATGGTGATCATCAGAGTGCTTGTAAAATTATTCTAAGTTTCCACTAAAAAAAAAAAAAAAAAAGACTCTTTTTTTCTTCATCTTATGAAAAATGTTTTTACATAATGATTTAGGAGGTCATAAATTCTAATATTAATTAGAATTTTTTGGAAAAGCTTTAATATCTGCAACTCCAATTAGCCAATGATTTAAGTAATTTTTGGTTATGTCCATTCAGAAGTATCAAAAACCCTGTCACGATCCCTACTCTTTAATCCATAGAAAGGAAATAAAATACCCTCATGTATCTCATGTAAAATTAAGCTTTCTGGTTGTTAGTACTTTTTCTTTCTTTTTTTAAATTTTTATTTTATTGATTTTAGGAATCAATGGTTGATCCCTCTCTGTGCCCTGACCGGGGATCCAACCTGCAACCTTGGCCTATTGGGATGATGCTCTAGCCAACTGAGCTACCCGGCCAGGGCCTACCCAGTTTTTCTTGAAAACATTTCTTTGTTTCATATTATACCAACTTAGAAATAAGCATCAGGTATACTGACAGCAGTGAAAATTGAAAGCTGCCTCAGTGGAAGAGATGGAAGAATCACTAACTAGCAAAGCACACATATTCCTCAATGTGATGATAATGATGATGACTTAAAATCATTAAGAACAGGCTAAATTTTTATACATGCTCATTTATTAAGGCAAGGAATTGTATAACTGTAAAAAATAGACTTAATGTTGATGGATAAAGGCTTATGAGCTATAGGCAGCTATGGAATAGTGGAAGTAACATTGTTTTGTCCATCTATGTGAGGTGATACATACAAATTTTGTCTTTGTTTGCCTGTGAGTTCATCCTATTAGTAAATAATGTGAAGGGAAAGTAAGTTGAAAAGTAAGAATACTGCAGGGTTGTAGTCCAGGACTGACAGTGCATGTCAGCAACTTCATTCATTTCTCTGCTTTCACAGATGATAGGAACATCCGGCAGGGAATGATACTGTATTATTGCCCTTAACACAGATCTAACTTTTAAAATTGTGAGCTACACTTACCTGAGATGTGTACAGTGTAAAGAATAATAATAAACACCAGTGTGTCCATCGCTGAACTTAAGAAACAGAAGTCCTGTGCATGTTTCCTTAATTACACTCTGCCCCCCTTCTCTCCCGAGGGAACCTCTATCCTGGAAAGAGAACCCTATCCTGAAATTTATCAGTTATTCACTTACCTTATTTTAATGGTTTTAGCACATGTGTATGTATCTCTGAGCAACTCTCATTTAGTTTTGTCCATTTCATACTTTATTTAAATGGAATCATGTTGTATGTATTCCAGCTAATTACTAGCAGTGTTTTGTTATTGCCCAATATGTTTTTGCAATTCTTTTTATTGCTGTATTATAGTGTTTACTAGAGGCCCAGTGCACGGATTTGTGCACCGGTGGGGTCCCTCGGCCTGGCCTGTGTCCTCTGGCAATCCGGGACCCCTCGGGGGATGTCAAACTGCCGGTTTCGACCCAGTCCCCACAGGCCAGAGGGCTCCTGTGCACCAGCCCTCTAGTATTATTCTGTTTCAGGATACAGTAGTTTCCCCCCTTATGTATAGAGGATACGTTCTAACACCCCAGTAGATGCCTAAAACCACGGCTGGTACTGTACCCTATATATACGGTATATTTTCGCCTATGAATACATACCTTTTTTCTTAATTTATTTAACTCTGTTGTAACTGTGGCAACAGCTCTTCCTCGGCAGTAATTCTTGTATTTTTCAGTCCAAACCTCTTCCTAAATCTGTGTAACCATCCTTTACTTGCAGTAAATGGCTTAGTGTCACTCCTTTCAGGGATCCTTTGCTGAAGTATTAATAAAGGTTCAGTGCTTTTGGCTCAACACACCGTCAGTTGGAACATAAGTTTTCTGTTTATCTTCCACCCACAAATTTAATTCCTTTTGCATCTTAACTGAGTAGTTACCACCCATGGTGGCCATAACTTTTGCAGTTTGAGGTGTGACAGCAAAACTAGCACAAATTTCTTTTTTTTCTCAAAACTTCATGGATAGTTGATTTGTTCTTTTTAAAAATGTTTTTGTATTGATTTCAGAGAGGTAGGGAGAGAGATAGAAACATCAATGATGAGAGAGAACCATGGATCAGCTGCCTCCTGCACGCCCCCCACTGGGGACCAAGCCCAAAACACGGGCATGTGTCCTGACCAGGAAATTATTTTTATTTTTAAAATATATTTTTATTGATTTCAGATTTATATGTTATATTTGTTCAGTTTTAGTTACATCTTGGTTAAAATTTATAAATTAAACATATAGTCATTGTATATTTAGTTTTATCCACATGTTTAAAATTTATTTTGCCTACCATTCTTTCTTAAATCTTAGGCTTTTCTTCAAAAATAATTTCCCTTTTGCCCAGTTGGTGTGGTTCAGTGGTTGAGTGTTGACCTATGAACCTGGAGGTCACAGTTCAATTCCTAGTCAGGGCACATGCCTGGGTTGCAGGCTCAATCCCCAGTAGGGGGCATGCAGAAGGCAGCCGATCAATGATTCCCTCTCATCATTGATGTTTCTAGCTCTCCCTTCTTCTCTGAAATCAATAAAAATGTATTTGAAAAATAAAATAATAATTTCCCTTTTTACTGAAGTATATCCATTCCTGGTTAATTTATTGAGGGCCTCTTAGTTATAAATGCAGTCAGTTTTGTCCAGAATGTCTGTTTCTCCATTCTTCTTGAAATCTTAGTTTTGTTGGGGTTAGACTCCTAGATTGACAGTTAATGTGTATAGATATTATTTTACTGCTTCTGATTTCTATCCCTGCTGTAGAGAAGTCTGCTTTCAGGCTAATTATCATCCCTTTGGAGGTAATTTGTCGTTTTCTCTATCAACTTTTACGATCTCTTCTTTGTCTTTAGTGTTCTGTAGTTTCACTTTGATGTATCTGAGTATGGATTTCTTTTTCTTAATTTGCTTTGGATTCATTGTAATTTTCTGAATGTTATGTCTTCTTAAGTTCTGTAAAATTCTTATTTATTGCATTTGCTTCTGTTAAGTGTCTGAAAGCACACCATCTGAGACACTTAATATTTTGGATTTTGGATTTTTTCAAGCTAATTCTCAAACCTGCTTGAATGTAGGCCTGTGGTTAGGGATTCTCAGGGAGACTTGTTTTGATTTCTTTTCCGTTCAGCCAAAGATAAGGTAGGCATGACTCCCTTTAATCATCCTCTCCCTCTGCAGGACAGGGACTTTTTTCTGCTTGTGCAGTGATGAAGTACCTTCCAGAGTTCTGGCTTTATCTCCTGGGCCCTGTGTCTGCTGTCCACTGAAGCCCGGGCTTTAGGCAAATGCCAACTCCTGCATACTTATCCCTCTGGATTCCTGCTTTCTCAACATTTCTGGTCTCTGAGGCATTTCCTCACTTCTTACCAGCTCAGAAATGAATTTTAAAAGATTTTTAAAAAAATGTATCCAGCAAGTTTAGGAGTGCTGAATTGGGAGGAGTTTCCCTCAGCATCATGTCTGCCATGTGTGACTTTGAGTTGGATTTTAAGCAACAAAGTGGATTTTGCTTAATTATACAATTATTTTATAACTTTTGCTCAGAGTTCCTTTTCTAAAGAATTGGATTAAGTCTGTTCTGTGAAATAGCTTTCAACCTAATGGACACAGTTTCTTATGGATTCCTGTCTCACAAGCACAAAATAACATTATATTTCTATATCATACTTTTAAGAATATTGCAAGTAATAGTGAAATCCTGCTTAGTTCATGGTTATCATTCTTAGAAATTTCTTAATGTCTTCCAAAATGTAAATTCACATTTTGTTTTATTCACAGATAAATAGACTTAAAGTCATGATCAAGATAATTGTGTCCTTCTTAACCTTTAGTTAGCAGCATACTTCTCTTTCAACAACTCTAAAGTGAGAATGAAAAGTTACCTTTTTTATGAGCTGTCTAATCTGCCACTTATCATAATTCCTAATTTATCCCTTTTCTTACTTTCATTTTTATATGTATTTTTTTATTGATTTCAGAGAGCAAGGAAGAAATAGAAACATCAATGATGAGAGAGAATCACTTTTTGACTGCCTCCCGCATGCCCCACACTGGGCATTGAGCCCACAACTGAGGCATGTGCCCTGACCAAGAATCAAACCATGACCTTCTGGTTCATAGGTCGACACTCGACCACTGAGCCACACCAGCTAGGCTACTTACTTTGTTATAAAAACTTTGTACTTAATGTTAATAGTATTGTTTTTGTTCTGCCCTTCATTGCTTAGGGAAAATATGTCCCCTCTTGAACAAACAGGAATAGTTTAGAATTCAACTATTTTTTCTTTTGTTCAAAGTCCTCTGGGTGTAGAAATCAAACATTTTATTGAGTGGATGAATCAAGAATACATTATGTTGCATGCTTATTTTTCCCCAACTGGTGAGCTCTGTGTGTGCGTCTGTGTGTTTGGACTCATACATAATCTAATTGGTTAGAAGTGTTTTTCTAGATGTACTTACTGCAGCAGATATTTTAATAGTAATAGACAGTTTTCGCCTTATGTTCAAAATGAAACGACCTGTTATTCTATCCTTGTTCTTCCAGGGTAATACCGAACAACCTGTCCAAACTAGCAAGATTGGACTTGGAAGGAGAGAGTATCAGAGTTTACAACACCGCCATCATTCTCAGCGTTCTAAGTGCCGTCCACCTAAGGGCATGTATTTAACCCAGGAAGATGTGGTAGCTGTTTCCTGTAGTCCCAATGCAGCCAACACTATCCTCAGGCAACTGGACATGGAGTTGATCTCTTTAAAACGCCAGGTATTTTATAAAAGTCATAGTTTTAATGATTCTGTCCATTTTGCTTATCTACTTTACCTAAGTAAACTCAAAATTTTGTATATTTTTCTCGTGACCCATTTACATAAGCTTTGTTCTTTAAAATGTACCTTGTTTCCAAATTGTAAGATACCTCTGTCTATTCTAGGTTTGAATCCCAGCATTGCTACCTGTTAGCTTTGTGATCTTGGGAAATGGTAGAATCTCTCTACGCTTCAATTTTATATCTATGAAATTGGGGATAATAATCATACTTTTCCTACAGGTTGTTGGGAATTATTTGAGATGATGCCTGTAGATTTTTAGCAGGGTTTGGCACATTTGAAGGAATAGTGGCTACTCTCTTCATCCTCATCATCATCACCAGTAGTAGTACCAGTAGCAGTATAAGAGTATCATCATCATCGGGTAGTGGTTAAGAGTCAGTATCTGGAGTCAGTGACCTAGGTTCTAACCCTGGTTGCACTATCTACTTCCCATGTAACTTTAGGGAAGCTGTTCAACTTCTCTTCAGTTTCCTCATCTTAAAACATGGATAATAATGTGATGGTTGGGAGGAATTAAACAAGATAATAATCATAAGTGCCTAAAACAGTGCTTAGCACATAGTAAGTACTCAGTGAATGGCTGTTACTTGGTCTCTGGCCTTTCTCAGTCATCTTTTCCCTTTTTTGTTTGTTTCTGTTGTTGTTTATCCCTTCGGTCTAGTTACTCTTCTAAGACTGTACTTTCTTGGTCTATACCAGCCAACCTTACACTATATGCCAGTGACTTCTGAATCTACTTCTCAAGCTGTGACTTTCTCCCAAGCTCTGTAGCTGTATTTCCAGCTGCCTGCTAGATATTTCATCTAACCCCCAAATGTTCTCTGTTGAAACATCAGAATCATCTTAGATTCATCCCTTGCCAGTATCACTGCCCCAACACACACAAACCAAGTAGTAACCAAATTATGTGAGTTTCATCTCTGAAATTCCCTTTCAATCAAATCCCTCATTTTTAATCCCATCTCTGCTGCCCTTGTGCCCTTTACCCTTCTTGCCTGACAATAACTATCTTGTTGATAACTCCTTGTTATTGATAAAAACATTATGATGCCCGGCCATTGTGCCTCAGTGGTTGAGCATCAACCTGTGAACCAAGAGGGCATGGTTTGATTCCTTGTCAGAGAATATGCCCAGGTTGCAGGCTCAATCCCCAGGCGGGGGCGTGCAGGAGGCAGCTGATCAATGATTCTCTCTCATCATTAATGTTTCTATCTCTCTCCCTCTCCTTTCGTCTCTGAAATCAATAAAAATAAAATACATTATGGTATTGAAAAATATTGATGGATTTTTATTCCTATATATCAGTTATATTTGGTTATAAGAGACATTGTTAAAATACATTCAAGTACTATGAGTTGTGAACTATGTCTATTAATCTATTAGATAGATTATATAAGTTGATGTGTATATTAGTTGAATGAGTGGAATATTGCACCCTAAGTGTGATAAGTGTCTATCCTTCTGAAATAAAATCTAGGAGGGTTTGGTACATATCCTTTTCATTTAGTGAGTACTCACCTAAGTACGTGTTCTGATTCATATTTTGGGTTATTTTTATTGAAGGTTCAGAATGCTAAGCAAGTAAACAGTGCACTTAAACAGAAAATGGAAGGAGGAATTGAAGAATTCAAACCTCCTGAGGTACGTCATTGAAGAATATCTGTGACTAACCTTGTTCTTTGAGTTATCCAGTGTTCAGCTACTAATTTGGTCACATGTGTTGTTAATACTTTGAAGGTTTAAGGTTTTATAATATGGATAATTTATTAAGTCTATTTTGTGATAGTCTTTTGAGACTTGGCTAATAATTTAAGTTAAATAATTTTTCCTCTCTGCCTTTAGCACTTCCTGTCAAGCAAAGTAATTAGGAAATATAGCTATACAGGTAGGCCCAGTGTATGCAAAACCAGAAGGTCATTGATGAACAAGCCAGTCCATTTCTGGGTCTGCAGCAGTGTTTGCTCAAAGCCCATTTCTGCTTGTGTGAATTGGTAACACAGCAAGAAAAAGATCACCAAATATAGAGCTAATTTTAACAGATTTCAATTTTAATTTAAGGTATTTGTCTTTTAGCTGAGATGTCCAGTTAGGATTTTAGTATGCAAACTTACATTCTTGTACTTATATCCCTGAGAATATGAAATGTAAAAACAATAAACAGATTGACCATTTTCTCAAATCTTGCTTGTATTTCAACTGAAACTTAATGTTTTTGCTATTTGTGATAATTATAGGCATTAAATTCCCATAAGGTTCAATCAAGTCTTTTTACAGAGCTATTATAAAATCTTTTTTCTCTCTATTTTTTTTTAAGATTACTATGTTACGCTTCATATCCTGGACTTGCCTTTCTGTTTATGTACTAACCAAATAATTTTATTTGGTCCTAATGGGACATTTCTCCACTCCCCCAACTAAATCGCAGGTCGAAATATCTGAAAATGAGTGTGTGTGAAGGGCTGGGGAGGGGCAAAGCAGAAATGCTTCAGAACCAATGCACCCTATGCCATCTTACTCAGTATAGCCTTTCAGAAAACAGAATCAGGAAGAAAGTTGTGTTTGTTTGTTTTGAATAATCTCTTTCAAGGTTAGGAAATGTAAAAGAATGAAATATACATAGGCTAATATTCCAAACTCAGGTAGACTGACAAACATTCTGGTGACATTTATTTATTTAAAGATAGTGTGATACCAAAAATACTACTATAATTTTTATATTATTGCAGCAAAAATGCCTATAATATAAAAATATAACTTAATAATTAAATGTAAAATTGCAGCAGGTATTGAAAACATGATGGGATACCATGAAGAACTTCATGCCAATGTGTTTGAAAATTTAAACAAAAGTTAGAAATTCCAAGGAAAATATGTCTTACCAAAATTATCTTGAAAAGGAAGAAAACCTGCCGTGGCCGGTTTGGCTCAGTGGATAGAGCATCGGCCTGCGGACTGAAAGGTCCCAGGTTCAATTCTGGTCAAGGGCATGTACCTTGGTTGCGGGCACATCCCCAGTGGGGAGTGTGCAGGAGGCAGCTGATTGATGTTTCTCTCTCATTGATGTTTCTAACTATCTCTCTCCCTTCCTCTCTGTAAAAAATCAATAAAATATATTTAAAAAAAAGAAAGAAAAGGAAGAAAACCTGAATAATTTATAAGCATTAAATAAAAAGAAAGAAAAATTAACATTTTTTTCTCAGAGGAAAATGTCAGGCCCAAACACTTTTACAGAAAAAGTCTACCAAATTTTCAAGGAAATGATCATTCTAATCTCAAGCTTTCCAGAAAAGTGCAGGATCATCGCACTCATTAACATTCTATAAAGTAACATGTACAAGTGTAATAGCACTTACAACTGCCCTATGTGCTACCTCATTTGATGCTCTCAGAAATTCCAAGAAGTAGATGAAGCAAATACTATTATTTTACATGAGGAAACTGGGCCTCTCAAGTCAGAGAGATTAACTGACTTGATCAAGGTCACATGTCATAAATAGTGAACCTCTGGCTATATTTCAGATTCTTAGATTCCATTTGGAGTCTTAGATTAATATGCTGCCTCTTACTTTTGGAGGTTTTCATGGGACAGCAAAATGCTATAATAGATTCTCCCATTTAAATCCATTTATTGGGCTAGAAGTTACTGAACATTTATTACATCTTTTGGTTTATTGTAAAAATAAATCAAAATGAAACAACTACAATCTTAACTCTCTACCATTTGTACATTAAAGTTTGAATATTACTTTGAGGTTGATTTATTGAACTCATATGACTTGAAAATGCATATATTTTTTATCATCTAGAAAGTTTTATCAACATATTTTTATTATATTATTCCTATTGTTTTTCAGGGGAGAGCAAATTGAATAGATACACATATTTCAAAATACTAGGTTTACAGTCATAGTAAAGACCTTGAAAAATCATGTAATCTATCACCTAATCTAAAGAATTTCTAACCTAAAGAAGTTCACTAACTTTTGGAACAATAGGCTACTAAGTGATATAACTCAACTGGAAGTAAACAGTTACTAAAATGCTTCACTTACTCATTTGGTTGTATTTATTTTTATTTAGGGAAAATTTTGATGAAGAAAGTCCATATTTCGATAAATATATATTGATCACTTATTTCATGTAAAGCATTGTGTTAGGCACTGTGGGAAGTGTGTGTTTGGGAAAAGGGGGGACCCATAAAAATGAGGAAGAGATGAATTTTTTTTGCTCCTTTTCTCCATCTGCCTTTAAAAAAAAGAACTTGCAGGGGGTGGGGCAGGGGAGGAAGGAGTTGAAATTGCAGAAACTGATTGGAGTTGTATGATAGATTTATAAGTGAAGTGTTAACAAGGAAAACAAGTGGTCATTATTCATTCTACCTGGGATCATCAGGGAATTCTTCCCAGAGGGGGCTGTTTCAACAGGTTTGAAGGATAAGTGGGATTTTTGAATATACAAAAAGGACAGGCACAGGGACTCATGAACAGTGTTTTGGTGCTGAGCAGTACATTCAAAATATAGATCCAGTGGAAGAAAATAAATGCATTTTAAAAAACTGATCAACAGGTATTCTCTGAACACTTATTATGTGTGCCTTATTGTGCTAGTAACTATTGAGAATTCACCAACCCATGTAAATCAGTCTTTTCTCAAGTAATATATTGTCTGCTTAGGAAGGCACACTTGGATTCAGAGGACCAATGACCACCAGGTATGAGAGAGATATTAGCAAGGTAGAGCTGAACAGGGACTTCTTTATGATAGAGATCAGCCGGTAAGGACCAGAGAATAAAAGTCCTTGTGTGACCTAGGAAGAGAAGTCTACCTATTAAGTCAAATGGAAACACCTCCTAGTTTCTTCAATATAGGAAGGAAGTAATGAAAATTTTTAATTTTAGGGAAGCTATCCTGTCAGTATTATACAGGATAATTTAAAAACTTTGCAGCTGCTAAAATACCAAGCATATGAGTAATAAAGTAATTGGTAAAGGGGCACCGGGTAGGGCCAGGTATTAGTTGTAGAAATGGACAGCAAGTGATAAATCCAAAGACCATTGCAAGTAAAAATTAGTGTATTTCCTTGAAAGTACATGAGAGTGATGGGAGTGATGGCATGTTTTGTTATGCTTTGATTTGTTTTGGGTGGAGGTAGGTGGAGGTAAGGAGGTTAATTAATCCAGGAAGCAAGAAACTGAGAAAGGAGTGCTTTTTGAAGCGAGAAATTCCCCCATCTGTGGATGTTTCCATGCCCGGGGTTGGTGACATTCTTTCATATGGATGTTGTATGGAATTTTTGGCCTTGCGTGGAAGGTTTGACTTGGTGACCTTTTCTAACTCTTCCCACTCAGAGGTGTTACAAATCCGCTACTGACAAAAATGGGACAGATAATAAAGACAAAGTAAGTTAGCAGGGAAAGAATGCAGTAAAGATGCTGAATATAGGACTAAACTATTTTGTATTCATAACTGTAAACCTACTTTTGCCCACCCTGTATTAGATTATTTTGTTTTATATTAACATTTTATTATTTTTAAAACAATGGTATTTCAGACTGGGGTTGCTGTAGAATGTTCTCAGTGGTATCCAGCTAACCACAACTACCACACAGTTTCAGATTCCTAGATATATAAATTAATCTCTACCAAAGTTTCTTGGGTTTAAAAGAGAATATAAAGATCAGTGACTGAAAAGAATCCTGTGTATTTACATTTTTTTACTCCTTTTCTCCTTCAGTCTGACCCCTTCCATTGTTTCCATTTTGTGACACCTAGACTGTTTAATTCCTTAACAATTTCAACTCCTTCCTCCCCTGCCCCACCCCCTGCATTTTTCTACTGAGGTTTCTTCTTAAAGGTTAACATTGGTGCTAATGAGCAGTTTCCACAGCTCTAACTCCTTGTTTCCTTTGCATTTTTCTGAGCCCAGGACATAGATGTCAACCTCTCGTTTTCCTTTAACTTTTGAGAGGTTATGTTCTCTTTTATAACTATTATGTCTCAGCTGTATTTTCCTTTCTATACGTAAATATAGACATTCTCCAAGTTTTTATCCTCAGAATTCATTTCTCTCTCTTCTCATTGAAAATACCAATCTTATCACTTGATATGTACATTTAAATGACACAATTGAATGACATATTCTGCAAATAAAACAAAGAACATAGTTAGTCATAGCAAACTTGGTAAAACTGGCCATTCTGCCTGAACTCCATTTACCAAGTGTATGCCCCTGCGTGAGCAGCTACGAGGCTGGGAAGTGTGAGCCCACTGTCCCTTTAGTCAGTGTTAACTTCCACATGCCTCCTGTGTGAGTATGTCCTTGAACTTAGTGAGATTGTAGTATTTAAATATGTGTTCGTCTTTTTCATTCAATACTACCCTAAATTCGCGCCAAAGGCTTCATCTGGGATTTAACTAAAAAACGAGTGGCCCATCCCAGTGCTGGAAGAATACCTAACGCTTTGGGCCTGTGTGCCCATCTCCATGGCTGCCTTTGTGAGAACATTTCAAAAGTAAATTGGACAAAACGTTTTTAAAATGTATAGGCTGATTTTAGAACCTCACATCTGAGTAAGATTTGACTCCATTATTTTCCCTCATGAGCATTTGAGTAGATGAATCTCTGTTAGCCTCAAGTGGAACCAGAGCTCCACCTGGATATCATTGTCAACGTATCTTACGTTAAATTCATCATCTTAGCCTTCCTCCCCCATTTCCCAGATCAGTGTTTCTCATGACCTTTCCTGAGTTAACTCCAGTTCTTATCTATCCCACTCATCATATCAGCATACAGCTTGATTACTCTCTTGCTCATACAGTGCAAATGCAGAACAAAACAAAATGAAGTTATAAATCTTGCAAAAGATGCAAAACTTCATGAAGTCTATGAAAATAGAAGAGAATGGCTTTCATCACTTGCAACATTATTGACAGATGGGTATCTAACAAAATTAACAATTGAAGGAAAAAAGATGGTCACTCACAGATAAGCATTTCAAAAAAAGATAATTTGATTACCAAAAACCAAGAGGCCCTTGAGAAATTGTTGAAGTCTTCAAAACAAAGATAACCCATTCTATGCTCATATTATGAATTTCAAAGCTGGGGGGTATTACCATTAAATAGTCAGAGAAGATATGCCAAAAATAAATAAAATGAAACATATAAGTTAAGGTCATTATTGTATTTTTAATGAACTAATTTTTATAAGTTTTCATTTCATATTCACATTAAATTGCAATCAACCTTTTATGATTTTAACCATTTACTTTGAAATATTTGGGCCTGTTTTAAATAGGTTCTAGAACAGGGGTGGGCAAACTTTTTGACTCGAGGGCCACAATGGGTTCTTAAACTGGACCGGAGGGCCGGAACAAAAGCATGGATGGAGTCTTTGTGTGAACTAATATAAATTCAAAGTAAACATCATTACATAAAAGGGTACGGTCTTTTTTTTTTTAGTTTTATTCATTTCAAACGGGCCGGATGCGGCCCTCGGCCGTAGTTTGCCCACGGCTGTTCTAGAATCAATTATCCTTGGGTACCAAGGACCTCTTTTATCTACCTTTCACAGCCAGGCTAACATTAGATTGCCTGGGGAGCGTATGTTTAAATTTTCTAGTTTTTCCTCTATCATCTTTTTCTTTATTTCTTTTCACTTCTTTAGCCTTAATTTACCTTTTCCTTATTATTGCCTCTGTATGTCCCATTCCCTCTCTTTTCTCTTTACCTTTTTACTGTTGTTCTTTGCTTCATCGCCAGTATCCTAACGTCGAGCATTACCCACTGTCTGCCTGGCTTGCTTGCTTTTCGGTTTTAGTCTCATCATCTGGAATTCAGTGTTTTCTTTAGGTTTTTCCCTCCCTTTCTCTAAGCCCTGTTTTACTTTTTCTTCTCTAATAATTTTTTTAAATTTTGAATTTTTGTTTTATTCTTTCTTCTGAGTGCTTACTTATACCTCTTCACACGTGGTCAGGGAGTTGGTGTTACTCAGACCATGTGTGCTCTGTAGAAACTCCTATTGCTAAGACCATGAGTAAGATAAGACCTAACCACCCCTTCTCAAAGGAAGCCTTTCTGTTTTGCCCAGCATGCCCCTGTATCACACGAGGGCACTTTGCCTGGGCAGTTTCTACTGCAAACCTCCGGAGGCTGGTGTACTTATGTCTGTTCCTCCATTTACTGCCAATGGTCCTTGATTACTAACAGGTATACACCAGTGAAATTCAATCGGTTGTTTAACATTGAATATGTTAAACAAAATAAAAATCCATAATAAAAATCCTAAACATAGGATTTTTTTGAAACAAAAATATTGAGAGGAATATGGGAGGCCTTGGGGGAGATATTCTTAGAGTGGGTCACTTTCTGCTTCAGAAATGTTTTAGGGCTTAAGCCTGATCTACAGTTCTGTGTTAATTTATACAACACTATTTTTTTGAAATTGTCACAGGAGAGTGCCCGCAGAATAATGGCAGCCTTCTCTTTAGCCTCTAAAGCACAACACAGTCATTTCATAAACAAAAATACTAGATTATAGGTAATATAACCTAAGTGTGAAGAGAAGAAATTTTAGAAAAAGTCACAAATTTCATCTAAAGAAAAAATAAAGTTTCTTAAATGTTTAAAATGAGGCTAAAATTAACATGTGCAGTGAGTGATAGGAACATTGTAGTTGGAAAATGAGTGAATATTTTAGCCTGTTTTAAATAGGTTTTCTGACTAGAGTATAAATGTGAATGTTGTTCATTCTCCCAAACTGGAACATTTCTCTTTCATTATCTTTTTGTGTGGGTAAAAGGTAACTCAGAATATATATATAAATTCTTATAAAAGTGAAATCTTCCAAAATCAGAGTTTTAGTAATCTGATGTCTGTAATTTGGTGAAAAGTTTTTTAAAAAAGTAAGTAAGCACTTTGGAAAAATGTCTGTCTTCATATCCTCATTAGGAAACTTTTCTTTAATTTTGTAGTCAAATCAGAAAATTAATGCCCGTTGGACCACAGAGGAGCAGCTTCTAGCAGTGCAAGGTATATTAAAGATAAGCAGTTCTTGTTGTTAATAATTATTGAACTTGTCATGAAAGGTGACCACCGTAGTTCTTCCTTGCCTTTAGAAATGGGTCGAGAAAGGGCTCTTGTGTTCACCACAAAGTCCTGGTGACCAGGGATTCTGTTCTGTCCTTGTGAATATGACATACTGAGCCTCTGTGCATTTCGAGTCCTGAACAGTGTGTAACTCGTTCTCAGAACTAAAAAAGTGATGGTGCTGACAAGCTTGCACAGTCGTGTGGTCTCTCTGCCTCTGCTTTGGTATTCCTCAGTTGGGTTCATTCTTACCATATCAGTCATTGATAATGTGGTTAAAAGCTTGAATAAACTAGTATGTGTTTCTGGTTTCTCTGTATAATAGTGTATCTATTTGATAAATGTCAGGTATTGAAAATATTAATGGTGTGCTTTATTCTCAGTGTATTATAACTTACTTAAGATATATCAAAAATATACATTTAGCATTTTTAATGCACTACAGTATTCATAAGAATGCTTTGTTGAATTCTATGGCAGAACATTTTTTGTATGAGAAATACTGTTGGGCAAATTGGAAGCATTATAAACTTGGATTTTCTTGTGTTTGAATTACTTAAAGAAGGGCAAATTGCATATTTTTATTCAATGTTGTAGTTTTTTTTTTTTCTCCCTTCAAAATAAACTATCTGGAGGACTGATTGTGTAATTTTAAGTTTGGCCTGCAATCTGTTCCTTAATAGCTGATCCCTCTTTTGTTGAGCACTTATAGCTATTTTATCTAGATTCACTACTATAAGAGAATTGAGCCCAGGGAAACATACAAGTATACCTTTAAAAATATTTCCAAATATTCAAACATAGAGAATATATTTAACTCAAAAATACTATGCAAGCACCATTCAGATGTGAGAATAATGTAATTAAAAATTGATTAATAGATGGCTCTGCAGTTTGTATTAGAGTGAATAACTACCAAGCCAGTGTGATTTGAAATTGTCACAGGAGAGTGCCCACAGGATAATGGCAGCCTTCTCTTTGGCCTCTAAAGCACCACACAGTCGTTTCATAAATAAAATGCTTGACCATGTGGAAGCAACGTACTGGATATGCATTGAGCACATATATATTGTAGAACTATGTTTCTGAATGAGTCAGAACAAAGTTTAATTGATTTATAATGTTCAGTAATTGTTTTAAAATTACAAACTAGTGATTTAAAAATTAGTATTTTTCATGGCTTCTTCAAATGGCTTCTTCAGATTATTTAGAACTATGACTTATAGCTCTAACATAGTTATTTGAGTAGGCATTGCTTTTATTGACGTAAAGCCTGTGTTTCCCTCCATCGCAGTCTGTAGCCTATAGAATTTAACCCTGGTTTCCAGTATTCAGTTGCTTAAAGGTTAGTATATTAATCCTATTCTCTACTGTAAGAAATTATCCCAGTGAGAGAATTTTCTGGAGAATCACCAAGGAAAATCTGGGCTAATGTTTCTCTATACTGCCCTCAGGATTTATAACTGTTCTTACAGCACTAAGGGATAGAGTCTGTTGAATCTTATGGCTGGGTTGGACATTATGCAAAGCTGCATTCCAGGGAAGGGACAATCCCAAGATTTACATATATAGTGTGAACTACATGTGTGGTCATTACCCCAGCTTATAAATATTAAAGAGTGGAGCATTTCTAGATATAATCAAACATTTCCTCTCCACTGAGATATATTCAGTATTATATTATTATGCATATCTAAAAAGTAGCCCTAAATAAATTACACTAGTTCAGCAATTTATACAGAAATATTCATGTTCTTGGGATTTCAAAAGTACTTTATTAATATGTTAATGTCTTTGTTTTTATTTATTTGATTCTGTGTGGAATTTTTGTTTTCATTTTGTTATTGTTGTCGGTTTTGTTGTTATTATTGTTACATAAAATAAGACAATATAAAGCTATTTGTTTCCAAGATAGTTATTTGAGGGAGAATTAAAAAGTGCCATGTTTGCCTCATGTGTTCACACATTTATATAATGTACCTTATAAACAATATAATTATATAGTAATGTCACCTGTACCTGAGTCTCAGTGTGGTTGAGGTACATAATTGCAGTTTTTATTTTAACATGGACAGTTTGCTATCAAGAACTAGTTATCTTAGCAGGCAATTGTTTTTTTGTATTTTTCTTTTTAATCTTTATTTATGATAAACCTTTATATGATGTTATTATTTGGCTATTTCAATTTTATTATGTTTTGATAGTAACATGTTTTAATTTACATAGCATTTATATTTAAGACATTTTGCATAGATATTCGGATTTAACGCTCATTTGCTAAATGCTTTATTTTACCTTGCTCCTAGTTGACTATTACAGTGGCCTGGAAAGAGAAATACTGACACGCTCTAGTGTCATTAGTGAGATTTGTCACTCTCCTATTAAGTAAACTTTTGTTGTAACTCTTTTAAAGCCAACTAAATATATTAAGATGATTTCCTAGAACCTAGGAATATATATTTCCCACTTTATTTGCCATTATATTGTTAACTAAATATTAATTATTTAAATACTAAATATTTGAATATATTAATATTATTTTAATAATATTTAAATAAATAATAAATCTTGTACCCTTTTTTCTCCCTTATTTAGAAGAAAAATTCATGCTCAGACAAAATAGGAATGTGTGTTTATCCTTGTGTAATCTATCACTTTATTACATAGTTTCAGTTTTTGCTATGTTATAACTTCAATACATTCTTCAAGAGTCCCCAAGTGGGATTTTATAAATGCTGATAATTTAATCCTCTTAAAATACTTGCCAAGAATGCTCTTTGTTCAACTTCTGTAATCTGTTTCAGCGTTAAGTATCTAAAATTTCTATTATAAAAAATTAGTTAACAGTGAAGCCAATTATAGTCTTCACATATTTGTTAATGGTGAAATATGTTTTTAGTTTGTGTCATATAAATATTTTTTCTAATTTATAATGCTTTTAGAGATTATCCTAAAATCAATTTTGATATTCATATGATGGACATTTCTTATTTAGCAAGAATTAGGAAAGGCTGGTGTAGAAATGAGGGGGAAAATGGGGAAAAAAGGGAGCATCTATAATACTTTCAAGTAAAGATAAATTTTAAAAAGAATTAGGAAAGAAAATAGATTCTAGGTGTGTGGGGTTTTTTTTCAAGTAAATTGAACAATTACTAACTCTGTTAAAAATAACTTAGAAAGAGTAATAACATTTACTCTTTAGAGTACATAGAGGCAGAAGCATGGTATACAATATTTGCCATTTTTATTTTAGATCTCCTCTTAAATATGCAGTATTTATTTTGTAGTCATTAGTGTTAAAAAATATGTTCCTCAACTAAAATACTTGTGCTTTTTAAGATAAAAAACTTTTTCCAGTTTTATCAAGATGTCAATTTTAATTTTTAGTTAATTTTTTGTATTGTCAGCCTTCTCATATAGAACAAGAAATAACAGGACTATGTTCAAGGGGATTATGCTTACAGTTCAGTGTTACCTTCTCTCCCTGTAGTTCATACATTCATTTTGTTTTAGGAGAAATGAAGTTGCAAATCTAGAACTTGTCTTCTTTCTCATCTTATCTCCTACTTTTTAAAAAAGCTGCCTAAAGAAGGAAAAAAAGATTGGGCAGTTGGTTAACACATAAGGATTGTTGTAACCTATCTAGTACATGAACAATCAAAAGGAAGTGGAAGTGGAAATAGGAGATTCCTACCTTCCTAACTAAAAGGCAAGCCATATGCTTTAGAGAGTTTGTTCTATTATAACAGGTATAAGAATGGAGATCAAAAAGTATTGTCAGCCCTCTGCTGCACTTGCTTCAAATAATTAATGATTCAAATTAATTTTTTTATGGAATTTAATGTTTAACTATGGAAGATGGGAATGTAAAACTCAGAAGAGAAGGGCTAGACATTAGAAAAGAGAATGTATGATTTTGACTTTTAGCTCTGGCCTAGATGCATCAGTCACTGTCCTGTTGCAATTGGTAGCTTTTCTACCTTTCTTTAATACATATTCTTGAAGGGATTTTTAGGAGGTAGAAAGTAATGTATATTTTCCAATAGTTTGAGTTTAAAAATCTCTAACTGATAAGAAAGAACCACACCCTTGGAGTTTCTAGGTGTTACTTTGTTTTTATTTCAAGATAACATTTGTTTTTAATTGAGATTTCCTAATTATACCAAGTACATGCTCACTTTAAGAAATTTTGCTATAAGAACCAGGAAAAAATATCCCCCAAAATTCCACTGATTGAAAATGTGGGCTTTCATAGAATTTAATGATAATATAGTATCCTAATGAGTTTCATTTTTATGTTAATTCCCCAAACAAAACTTTAAAGGTATATATATTAAAGGTTATAAGGTATCATCTGCCAGATAGAAGGCCAAGCTGTTTCATTTTAACTTTCAAATGAAATTTAGAAATTTGACTGAAAACAATTTTTTTCTCTCCCTGAGAAATTTATAATTTACCTCTTCCAGGGGTCTCTCAAGTTTTATTCCACTAATCTTTGAAAACTGGCCTCTTGCCCTAAAGGTGAGAAGTTTTATTTAAAACCATGGTTCCAATGGACCTAAGCCTTTTACATCTTCAGGGAGAGAGAGGTTTAGTCACTGTATTTCATTTCCTTGCTGATGAAGCAGGCAGGTGGCCTTGTTCATTGTGAACTGAAGAAAGGACGGCCCACCCTGACCCAAGTACAGATTGGAACTAAGGGAGCTCTGATGTCATAATGTTGTTCGAGTCAGTTGCTCGGCACTGCTGCTCCCGCCAGGTCATCTAGGAGCTTCGCTGGGGATTTTTCTAAAGGAGCAATTAAGTCTTTAATTGGCATTTTACTAGAGTTTGCTAGTTACCAGCCACTGTCGAACTTAAGAATTCCACCTTATAGCCATCAGCCACTGTATAGAGCTTAAGAATTTCTCCTTATAGCCAAAACAGGCTGTTGAGAAGGGTTATTGGGATTGTGAAGGTGACAAAGAAGTCACTATATGTGACTCTTGTGGTTTGGGGAAGAAAAGTAGAATGAAGCCTCAGGGAAGAGAAGTCAGTCAGGTGCCTGAGCACTTCCTGTGGACTCAGCATTGTAGTGATGCTGGGGCTGGCGTGTATTCCAGAGGACCGTACTTCCCAACCTTTGACATTGTGGCAAACAGAAAATTAGGAAATTTGTCACAGCATACTGGGCAAACAGACGAGGCTGCAAACAGAGGAGACTGTCAAGGAACTGTAGCTCATGCCCAGACCCTGTGCAGGCATCCTGCAGACTGAGGGCCTTAATATCTGGGCCCATTTGTTCTCAGGACATGATTGGGGTCCTTAGCTAGACTACAGCAGTCTGCAATGTGGTCTGAGCCTTAACATTTTGCAAAATAGTTCATATAAGATTGTCATACATGAGTTAATAATAGACACACCGAGGTGACTTGGAAAAAGTTCTTGACATTGAAAATGTCTGGGAAAACTAAAGCTCCTATAGGAAGCAGCTTTGGTTTGGTGGTCTATAATTCTGGAAATGCAACAATATTGTGATAAGGTAAAGTCCATTGAACAAGAGAAAATAAAGTGGAAGATCAAAAAGAATAGAGTCAGAAGAAGCGGGGACAGTTATATAAAGGAATCTATCTGGAAATAGCTTAATGGTAGGTTTTGGAATATATTTTGCTTAGCAAATAGGTGTTCTGAGGGCTGTAATATCTCCAGACTCGGAGTCCAAGTTTGTCTTAATGTGATTTCTTGCTAGGAATACAGATCTAATCCAGATTTATTTAAGGTTTTCGTTTCTAAACTCATGTATTCGATAAGGTTCGGGCATTTCTAGAATGTAAGTTAAATGTCTTTTATGAAAATTAAGAGACTGCATTGGATTTCTGATTCGTAGTTATTTTTCAGTGCAGTGATCTCAAATGACTTGCTGTTTTCCAAAGTATATGTAGTAGAGAAGTACTTAAATATATAGCAGTAATTCCTAATATGAAATTACCTTGAATTTTTATTGCCATATAAACCCTCAGTAGAACCTAGTCGCCATTAGAATTTATACTCAGTATGAAGTTCCAGTTGGAAATTAGCTCATGAATTTTAAGAGAATATAAATTAATTTACATTGCTAAAATATTGTAAACAGTGTTTGAGTATCATTACTACTATGTTGTCATGCATATGTTGTCTGTCCTATTCCTTTGAGAATGGAACAAATGAGCATAGTTTACATGCCTCAAATTCTATATTAAAAATGGGATATGGTTATAGCTTAATAATGTCAGACTTCCCCCCAAATGTTCTAAGAGTCAAGCCTCGCTGGTCGAGTGTAGCAAGAGATACTTATTCTCAAGTTCTTAGTATAAAATAAGGGCAGAATTTAAAAACAAAAATTATGTCCTATCACATTGGTGCTCTAAGGTAATTGGGTAATGCCAATAGGTATCAGTAAGAATATATCTACTATTTCTGCTGGGGTCTTAACATATCCTTATATTATTCTCTCATCTGTGACTGTATACATGTTGCTTATTTCAATCCCCATATTTTTGGCTGCTTCCAGACTATATTAGAAGCATCAGTATTTTTTTTCTCCATTCTCATCTCTGTGATTAATGAGTTATTGTTTTCTGGTACTTTAAAAAGCAGTTTTCAAATTGTAAAATCAAAAATTTTGACAACTTTTATATTTTGAGCTAAGTGCATCTGTTTCAAGAATAAGTCAGTGACCCTCTCTTAGAATTGCCTTAAAAGCAAATTATTAGCCATCTGATTATATAAACTCATTTTTAAATTATTCCATAGCATAATTGACTATCTCAAGTTCATAAATATTATCCTTCATAATGTAATTTAATAAAATGTCCATAATGAAAAGTTAGGTTCTCAAATGACGGAATGTACAGTCCTTAAATTGGAGGTAGTGATGAGAAGCACAAGTGCTCTCCAAGCAGTTGCTGCTGTAACCTAATCCTTACGTCTAGAAGGCATAGCTGAGGCTCCTTCATAGACACAGTCTTTAGAACTATTACATGAGTTGACATTCAATGAACTGAAAAATACCTCCCCTTTTTTTCATTTGTCAGATTGTGATGATTCTCTTGCTTGTTAATTCTTATCTCATTTCTACTTGTTGGTACCCTGGTGAGATAGCAAGTAATCATTAAATTTGGTATTAAGGCCAAAATTATAATGCTTTTCTTAATGGGGGAACCCTAAGACTACTCACTCATTCCATTGAGGGGATAAAAGAGATGGCTCATTCCCATCCTGTCTTGTTTACAAACGGTGTTGCTCAAATTTAGGTGACTGGCTACTAGGGAAATAAATGAATATGGAATTGAGGATGGAACAAAGAATTCAATGCTTTACAATAAATGGACTGTATTTGAGAGTTCAAGAGAGGATTGGAGAAATAACTGAGTATGTAAAAAATGGTAAGTTTCTGATTGTTCAGTTGAAGGCAAGTGGCTGGCTCGATGAAATGACATAATTGATTGTTTTCATCTGGGACCCTGATATCTTAGCCTCTATCTTAGAACTGAGAAATGAGCAGAGTTTGTCAGAAAGGATTTTCATTGCTGGTATCTTGTGTGTGTGCATGATGTATAGTACACACAGCTCTCCTTATTGATCCTTCACCAGGTGTATTATTTACTTTGCCTTCCAGGTGTCCGCAAATATGGTAAAGATTTTCAAGCTATTGCAGATGTAATTGGCAACAAGACTGTTGGCCAAGTGAAGAACTTCTTTGTAAACTACAGGCGTCGGTTTAACTTAGAGGAGGTATTGCAGGAGTGGGAAGCAGAACAAGGAACCCAGGCTTCTAATGGTGATGCTTCTACTTTAGGGGAGGAGACAAAAAGTGCTTCTAATGTGCCATCAGGGAAGAGCACTGATGAAGAAGAGGAGGTGTGTTTGTGTATGGAATTTGAGCTAATATGAGTCGAGGAATCACCATGTTGTGTGGTGGTCTGTAAGGTTAATTGGTCAGCGGACTAGCTAAATGAGCATGAAAGGTTGACAATACACTTACTCAGTGGTGCATCTCTCGTGACTCTTAAGTCATAATGACATGCTAAGATCTGATCCTAGAAGAACGGAGAGTGTATTGTTCTTTCATAGTCTTATTTTTATTTCCAGTGTTAAGCTATTTACTAATAAAGATGCCTGTTTGGTAGCTTCGTTGCTTTTTCAGTTTTGGGTTTTTTTGTTTTGTTTTGTTTAAAATAAAAGAAGCTTGTGCTTCCAAAATATACTGGTGTTATGTTTTTGTTTTGTTTTGATTTGTTTTGTTTTTCCTGTGACAGCCCAAACTATATTGTATTAAGCTCCTTAGGAACTATCATCTCATACATGTATTTTTGTTTCCTCACCTCTAGGCACAGACCCCACAGGCTCCTCGGACTCTGGGTCCATCACCTCCTGCCCCACCATCCACTCCAACACCAACAGCCCCCATTGCCACTCTGAACCAGCCTCCACCACTTCTTCGTCCAACACTGCCTGCTGCCCCTGCTCTTCACCGGCAGCCTCCTCCGCTCCAGCAGCAGGCTCGGTTCATCCAGCCTCGGCCAACTCTAAATCAGCCTCCACCACCTCTCATTCGCCCTGCTAACTCTATGCCACCCCGTCTAAACCCAAGACCAGTGTTGTCCACAGTTGGTGGTCAGCAGCCACCATCACTTATTGGAATTCAGACAGACTCACAGTCCTCACTGCACTAAAATTAAGTTGGACAGAGCTGCAGTAACTTTTCCCACACCATATACCAATGCTCATCTGACCAGCAAGAACGAGGAAAGACTAATCCTTCCTAGATACTGAGGCTGGAACTGAGGCAGTGGGCTAGCGTAGTGGATGTCTAAGAAATTTTTTAGTTCACACAACTGAGATGTTGTATAAGAAGAAGCCTACAGTTAGGCTCCTTTCTAGAGTATATGTTCAGCAACATGCTCTCATAAAAGGAAAAAAAAAAAGATTAAGTATTCTATATACCAAGGGGTTTTTGTTTTTACTGTATTTATTTTATTGAGATTTCTTTATATTCCTGCCTCTTCATAGTCAAGGCTCTTAGTACAAGAATATTGACTTAGGAATTGTGAAAACTCCTTAAGTTTCTCAAGATAAGGATGTTTGACTTTTTTTTTTCTTTAATTTAATTTTAACATTTTCCTATGTTAGGAGTGTAAGAATAAGTAGCCTGCATTTCATATTTTGGCATCTGTTCATTTAATGCATATTTAAGAAATTATAGCCACATATCCCCTTTTTTTAAAAAAAAAATCTTGCTTTCTTTTCTAAAGGAATACTAATATGTTCCTTTCAAAGAAAGCAATTTAATCAATTGCAAAGCAATTATATGAAACCAGAAAGAATGTACTGAACCTACTAACCATTTAAAATGAGCTTAGGGTCCTAGTGCAAAGTCCTTGCTTAAAGGTCATTGACCTGTCATCTATCAGTAAGAAGAGGATCAGAGTAATAATACATACGAATGAGGAGTTAATTTGTTAAAGGACAATGTCTTTAAGTTCCTTGAAAATGAAGTTAATTTTGATTTTTTTTTAATGTTTCTAAATGCTGTCTGCTTTTAACTAGTAGTTGCCTACATCTAGGGATGTTAGGAGCAAATTATATTTTGTCAGTTATGTGGAGATAGTGGTAATGGAAGCATTTATTACAATACCCTTTTTGTGTTTAGGTTCTGAACTTAAAACTGCCCTCATACTTAATATGGCCTGCATTTAATATAAATGATGGTTTCTTGATAAATCTCTATTGTACTATTTGGATACATTTATGTATTTCTTGCAGCCAACGTGTATGACTGGGTTTGGTTTAGGATTAAATCATCAACATTATTTTATAAAATAAATTTAAGGATTTGTTCTGTGTTATCTAAAGATATATCGGTATATTGTCACAATTGTGCTGTTAACTTAAAATGCTGAGACCCCTTTTTATAAAGAAACAAAAAAACATTTCAGGTCTTCTTAATTCAACACATAATCATTAAGCACTTACAAAGAATATTTTAAAAGTGATAGTATTTCAACAATGTGTTACTAATATTTTTGATATGATGATTTCATATTGGAATCATGACTTGTGCAAAGGGACAGATTGCTCAGATTGCTATACTAGTGGAACATAAGGCTAAATGTTTGCACATTCACATTCTCATCATATTTAGAACTACTTCACAAAATGGTCAACATCCAAGGGCCTAATTTATTATTTGAGAGGTCGTATATTCCCAAATTATTGGGAAGATAGTCCCTATCATTGGCTCTAAAGCAGTGGTTCTCAAACTTCTGGCCCTTTAAATACAGTTCCTCATGTTGTGACCCAACCATAAAATTATTTTCGTTGCTACTTCATAACTGTAATGTTGCTACTGTTATGAATCGTAATGTAAATATCTGATATGCAGGATGGTCAGAGAAAGATAAATATCACATGATCTCACTCATTTATGGAATATAATGAACAACATAAACTGATCACTCTCATAAACTGATCACTCTCATTTGACCGCCAAAGGGGTCGCGACCCACAGGTTGAGAACCGCTGCTCTAAAGTCTTAAAGAGCTCTAGATTCAAGTCCATTGATTAGTTTTAATTTTGACATTTAGACCACTTCTTTCCATTAAGGACCTTAAGTTCTGGCATAATCAAAAACTTTTTCCAGGATGTGTCTGTCATTCTCATTGGATCATCTTAAATAGTTCTTCCCCTGGACTGTAACCAGATAAAATCTAATTTAAAATATTTAATATTCAAGAATTTATACTTATTTTTACTTTAAGAGCCATGGGGACAAAAGATATCTAAAGCCTAAAGTATTTAGATTGTCTTGCATATGTGCATACTATACAGCTTTTATTGTCTTGTCTTGTCAGTAGGCCTTCAGTATGCAATATGTGGCATATGTGAGTCAAGTTGGTCAGCACCAGCATCTGTCCAGCTGTTAAGTATATTGTGATTCATTTAAAATCTGTTCTATCCCAGCCACAGGCCAAAGTGCTGTATCTGAGGGATGTGCTGTGATTTGATTTATGTACACTAGAGCACACAGTGGAAAAATCTTAGCTTCATTAGTAATATGACACATGTACATAGTGAGATGTCTTTATTGTGTGCTTTGCATATTTTGTAAATATTTTGCACGTCATTCTTTTTCTTTTTTGTTTAAGCAGTGTTTGGCCTGGAAGAGTGATATGCTTGCTGCTTAATCAAAGGATTAAAGAGTTAAAGATGTCTATGTCTTCTATTTTTATATAATTTCATGTTGTATGAGGAATTTGGGACCTCTTCACTGTGAAATTCTAAATATTTTATAAAAATAGCAAAACCTAGAAATCTTTTAATGACCATGTTATTAATTTCAAGGTTATCATTTTTAAAAAATCACCCAAGTATTTTTTTTCATTACACAACTAAAAATAAATCACACTATTGATGCATCTGGTAATATTAATGAAAAAGTATTTTTTCTATAATTCCAATTTAGTATGGGTAGAGGTAAAGGTAAGTTATGATCAAAACTTTTTCTTAATCCTACAATTAAGTGAGTAAAATGAAAGAATATAAAATTCTATCTTAATAGAAATATGTGTAGGGAACAAGCAAAAAATGTAATGATTTTCAAAAATATTAATGTTGCAAATACTTTGGTTACAGGGCCAAGTTTAGTTATTAAATATGTTGTATTTTAATGTTTCTTCCTGCTACCCAAAGGATATATTACCCATAAATGTCAATAACCGCTGATCACTTAACACGGGTCTTATCTGATCACTTATCAGGGTCTCCTCAAAGAGAATAATATGACTTATAGTTCAAATCAGGATCTTTCTCTTTGTGCTTCCCCGAAATGAATAATGAATACATTCTTGCCAATACACCTGATAAGGGGTTAATATCCAAAATGTATAAAGAACTTATGAAACTGAACACCAAAAAAACATACAACCCAATTTAAAAATGGGCAAAGGACTTGAATAGACGCTTCTCCAAAGAGGACGTACAGGTGGCTAATAGACATAAGAAAAGATGCTCAATGTCACTAATCGTCAGAAAAATGCAAATTAAAACCACAATGAGCTAGCACTTCACACATGTTAGAATGGCTATTATCAGTAAATCAAGAAACAAGTGTTGGTAAGGATGTAGAGAATAGGGAACCCTTGTGTACTGCTGGTGGGAATGCAGATTGGTGCAGCCACTGTGAAATGTAGTATGTAGTCACATCAAAAAATTAAAAATAGAACTGCTTTATGACCTGGCAATTTCGCTTCTGGGAATTTACCCAAAGAAACCCGAAACACAAATTCTATAGAATATGTGCACCCCTATGTTCATTGCAGCATTATTCACAATACCCAACATTTGGAAGCAGCCCAAGTATTCATCAGAATAAAAAAGCTGTGGTACATTTACACAATGACATGCTACTTGGCCATAAAAAGAAAGAAGGAAATCTTACCTTTTGTGACCAGCATGGTAGACGTGGAGAGCATTGTGCTAAGTGAAATAAGCCAGTCAAAGAAAGACAAATACCATATGATTTTACTCATATGTGAAAACTAATGAACAACATGAACTAACAAGCAAAATGGAGACAGACTCATAGATAGAGAGCAGGCTGACAGCTGGCTGGGATGGGGGCACTGAGTGGAGGAGGTGGGAGAGGGTATGAGGGGGGGTATGCTAATGGATAGAGACTTGATTTGGGGTGGTCCACACAATACAGTGTACAGATGATGCGTTGTAGAATTGTGCTCCCAGAACCTGTATAATTTTGTGAACCAGTATCACTCCAATAAGTTAAAAAAAAAGATTTGTAAAAAATCCTTACTTCATACCAGGCACAAAAATTAACTTGAAATGGAATACAGGCCTAGATGTAAGAACTAAAACTATAAACTTCTAGAAGAAAATATGGGAAAAATATGTCACCAAAGGCATGACCCATAATAGAAAAAAAATTGATAAATTGGATTTCATAAAAATTTTTAAAAATCTTTTTTTGAAAAATGCAACACACAAAAAAATAAAAAGGCAAGTCATTGACCAGGAAAAAATATTTGCAAAACATATATCTGAGATACAATTTGTATCCGCACTATATAATAAACTCTTAGAATTCAAGAACTCTTACAAGGCAATAATAAAAGGACAAAAAACATTTAAATAAGCATAAAATTTGAACAGACATTTGCCAATGAAGATATTACAAATGCTGACTGAATGTATGGAAAGATGTCACATCATTAGTCATAAGGGAAATGCAAAGTAAAACCACAATGAAGTACCTATGACACCCACTAGAATGACTAATACTTTCAAAGACTGGCAATACCAACTGTTTTCAGGGTTTTAAAGAAATTGTGACCCTCTCATAAGGTCGGTAGAAATGTAATATGATACAGTGATACAGCCACTTTGGAAAACTGACCATTTCTAACAGATTCAATGTGCATGTACAATAAGACCCAGTAGTTTTACTCCTAGGAATCAATCTAAAGAGAAATGAACATGTATGTCCACACAAAGGTATGTATTGACATGTTCATAAGCCACATTATTTATAATAGCCCCAAACTGGAAATAATCCACATGTCTATTTGCTGGTGAGTGGATAAACAAAATATGGTATATCCATACAGTGGCATATTAAGCAACAATAAAAAAGAAGAAACTATTGATCTATACAACAAAACGAATGAACCAATGAAACTCAAAAACATTATGGTAATCGATACAAAATACTACATATTTATTTATATAAACGTTTCAGAAAATACAAAGCTATAGAGACAGGAAGCAGATCCTCTCTTGCCGGAGTCCAGGGTTGGGAGTGGGGGGTTTGACAGCGAAAGGACACAAGGGGTGATGAGTTCGTTCTAACATTTCATTGTGGTTATGGTTGCACAGCTGTGTACATTTACTATCAGTCATTGGTTGGGTGAATTTTGTGGTATTGAAAGTAGAACAGTAAAGTTGTTTAAAAAGGGGGAAAAAGCATGAAACAAAAGTATGTGCAACCAATGCAGCAGCTCCATATGGGGTAGGTATCACAGGAGAGGCCCTCATTGTGCCTATAGAAGTTCACATGGAAATTCCCAGGATAGAGGGGCAAGGTTGTGGAATACTGGGTGTGTTGGAGTCAAAGACATTTATTTGTCAGGTGTTGTTTTTTTTCTCAGACTAAGCCCTTCCTGAGCCTATGCCTTTCCTTCTGTCCTGTTTGCTGTGAAAGGGGAGCTGTGGCTAACCAGCGTTATAAGACCACTAGTGGCCCGGTGCACAGATTTGTGCACATTGAAAGGAAATTAATTAGAAGAAATATTTTATTATCTTCAGAGGTACGTTGTGTCAGTAGTTGGTCTTCAGACATATTCTGTCGACAACGCTGCTTTCTTTCAGCTTCAGAATGTCAACAAAAACAACCAAATTCACGATCGACAATGACAGATCGAAACACATATGTGCAATTGGCGCCAGCGAGAGCTTTATATGTATCACGCATGCACAAGTCAACGTTTATTTTTAAATTGCCAGTGCACGTCATATGTGCCTGTTGGTTGGTTGGATGGTCAGTCGGTCACTTAGCCTTTTATATATATAGATTGTATACAATCTCTCCACATAGTGTAGGCACCATTCTCAAAAAGAAGAAATACCAATAAATGGTCTTCCTTGTTCTCAACCTATTACAAAGTCTAACAAACCCAAATTGTGCCAATCAAATCTTACTTCATGGCTACCAAGGCTAAATAATCACTTTAAAATCTGTATTTGAATGTTTGGCAGTGACTCTGCAGAATTAATATGTTAAAATGTTTTCCAAGCGCTGATGGGAATTGCAATAAAGAAACTGTCAAAATGGACAGACTCCTCGTCTAGCTAAGTGGTGCAAATGAAGACAGCAGGTCTAATTTTAAAACAATAAAAATCTCATTTGTCCAACAAAAAGGCTGACAATCAGACAATCAAACCGTGAATGTATTGTGTGGAGGAATCCCCTGGAACAAATACGGGTACAGCATCAGCCTTTTCAAATGGGTGCAGAGCCTACACATAATAGATAAGAATAGAGTGACGCAAATAGGAAAAAAAACACACAAAACAAACAAACAGAAAAACACACACAGTCTTTCTTGAGCTCTTAAGCTAAAAGAGCAGCTGCTGGGTGCACATATATAGGGATGTATGTCCACACCAAAACCCGCACAGAAATGTTTATGGCGGCTTTATTTATAATTGCAAA